GCACACACGTACTGCCTTGGAAGAACTTTGGATTCATATGGCTGTTTCATCAGGCAGTAATGGCGGTTGGGATCCATGGATGGCAGCTCAGGGCCATGGCTGGCAGTTCAGAACCATGTGTGACAATTATGGCGGCTCAGGGCAGTCAACATTTTTGACTGGATGGCGGTTCAGTGCCAGTATTTTGGCAGATTTGGCGGTTCACCACCATATTTTTGTTTTTTTTGGCAAGTCTGGCAGGTCAGTACCTCCATATGATTCCAAGACTAGAGGGAAAAATAATAGTTTGGTCTAATGAGAAACAGCAATGATGGTTTCCGGAGTCATGGGGAAAAGAGAATCGCAAGATTGATAAGAATAGGAAGCTTATATACACTACGGGGGCACTTTTAAGGTTTGGGTTCGCAAAAGTTGCGAAATATAAGAACTTCGCAAGCTTGACGAAGCGTTCGCAAAAACTTTCGCAACTTTTGCAAAAGTTTCGTAAAAAAGGCAAAACAAGCTGCAAAAGCAGCTTGTTAAGGTTTTGATCTGGAACAACTCCGGTTTTTTATGCGGATTGTGCCGGATCAAAACCTTGAGGTTTGCTTTTGCAATAATCTTCGAAAGATGTCGCGCAAGTTTGGTTCAAATCTTTCGCAACTCTTGTCGCAGAGTTCTTTCAATGGATGCCAAAACCATTTGGGCTCTGGGACTCGGAGGAAAACACCTCAAACAGTCCGCAGCACCCATGTTTGACCCCGACTCCATCGGAAATTCAACTCAGGATACAAAGTTCACCCCATCCCCCCCTGTTTCATGCCCAAACCTCACTCAATCAGGATTCCCTTCTGTCTCAAATCATTCATCTCATCGGAATCCCCCCCCCCCAAAAAAAACAAAAACACTTCCACCCACCCAAAATAATTCAAGGTGAGGCCCGTTTTCAAATGATTGCCCCGACTTTACTTCATCGTTCTTCCAAGTCCAAACTAGTGATCAAAGCTACAGCAAAAGGAAAGGCAAGGAACCCATCAACTCCCATCAAGTCGTTCAGGATCCGCAAAGCCATTTTCATTTATCTTAATTTTTTTCTTGTTTCACTTCTGTCCTTTCCTTTTCCCTCTCATCTCTTTCATTCAATGATTGTATAAGACATCAATAAGAAGAATCTCCCTCTGTCTCATTGCTCTTCATCTATAATTTATCTTGTCCTTATTTTTATTTATTCTTATGTTATTCATGTTATTCATTGTTCCTTGTTTTCCTTTGATTCCTCTCAATCTCATCTCTTCCTCCTTTATCAACCTGTTTCCTCAGCCAATGTTTCATTGATCGGATGCAAGATGTTGTTTTCATTCATTTCATTTACTTTTCTTTTGATCGATTGATGTGATTAAAGAAATACAAACGTTTTTTATTTTCTTTCTTTATAATAAGTACCAGCGAGATGAAAAACAAAGGAAAGGCATTGTAATGATTCCAGTGTTACAAAACTTATTACGAGACACTTGCAAAACTATTTCGCAATCATAGTGAAAATGAGATTCGCAATAAATGCGAAACTTTGGGATTGCGGAATTTATTGCGCAATCCTTCCGAAAGTATTTCTCAAGTCTTGCGCAAAGCCTTCGGAATCCCTTTTGCAAGGGACGCAAGACTTTCGCAATCCTTTTCGCATGGGATTGCGTAACTCACCAGGACCAAGGTCGGCAACGTCCTCCCCTGCAGGCGGAGGCTGTGCAACTATTCTGAAACAATTTCGCAATAATTGCGAAATGCAGCGCCCGTGGTGTATATCAGAGTGAAGAGTTCATTTGATGATGTTATTGCAAAGTCAACTGAGATTAGGTAATCATCGGCTTGCAGAAAACAGGCTACTAGATCACTGTGTTGCGATGATCAAGGGAGAGATGAACCCAAAGTTCACGGTTGACAAACTTGTGACACTTTGTGAGTGAGAATGTTTTGGTTCTTATTCACTTGGGGAAAAGCACCATGGACAATCTAGTATAAGCTATGTACAAGATTGGTGTTTTCTGGTTAGAAGCATACTACAATAATGAATATAGGCATACTATTCTAACACACCCCCTTGCTGAAAACCAGAACTAAATTAAAAGAAATAGTTGAAAGCTACTGAGGTTGACTAGCATAACTACTTTTATGGGGACAGAAATTAGAAATAGTAATCAGTCCAAAGATCCAGTGGAAGAGAGGAGCAGGGAAAAATCGTGACAATTGATATACTCCTGGCCGCCAGGAGGAATTAGCCGTCAGGTCATGCCGGAGTTGCCTTCCCTACAAAAATAACTGTCTTCTACTTTGGGGTTTATCCCCACACGACGTCGATTTCTGGATCGAAGCCGTCCTCTTCATCTTCTTCATCGCTAGGGCCTCCACCTCCGAGTGGGACCACTGATGTGGCGCCGGCTCGTGCCTCAATATTGTTTGCTCGAGCTTTGGATCGGTTCTTCAGGGGAGAATTTGGACAAACCGACGAGTGATGACCAATCTCGCCACATCTCCAACAGCCGGACTTTTTTGGGTTTGTCGCCGCAGCAGCTGCAAAAAGCATCCGGACCATTGTCAAACAAGACCTGCGTTGACACTTTGTGCGCCTCGAGTGCCCCAATGGCGTCATCAAGGGAGATTTCCGTTGGTGAATAGACCAGATGATCCTTGATCGTCTTCCACAAGTCTTCCAGACCACGGAGAAGTCAATCACATATTTGTTGATCTGCAGGAGTCAATTTAACCGACTTGAGGTCGGAGGCGGCATTGCAAACCTTTGTGATGTATCGGGCTATTGGTTGACTGGGATCATGATGTGAACCCCAGAACAAATCTTGTAACATCATTTGTCTTGTGCGGGTGTTCTTTTCATATGCGTCGCAGATAGTCTATTAGTCTTGAACAATACATTGACCGGCTTGAGATCCTTGTATCTGATTGCTAGATTGATCAAGAGCGTCATTTTTAAGGTCGCACAAGCTACATCCAAGAGTGTATCCCAATCAGACCCAGATTCTTTGGCAAAGTAGATACGCTGAGAGCCCTGCGTAACGGGTTTAGAATCCTTGTCTTTATAATTGCCTTCCGGTCGAGCGAGCTTGCCAACAACAATATTGTGCACCCCCTGGATGGCAAATAGTTCCTCGAGTTGAGTGCGCCAAGCTGGAAAGCCAACCGAGTTCCCGTCTAGAACCGGAACGTTCCCAATGAGAGCGGAAGGTTTTTGGGTGGTCCGAGCTGGCATCTTAGTGAGGAAGACAATACGAGGTCAAATACGAGTGTTGAAAAAGATGTTGAGTCGCAAGCAGGGTGAGCGGATGGGCCTCATAACCTGTTGCGATGAGCAAGGGAGAGATGAACCCAAAGTTCACGGTTGACAAACCTGTGACACTTTGTGAGTGAGAATGTTTTGGTTCTTATTCACTGGGGGGAAAAGCACCATGGACAATCTAGTATAAGCTATGTACAGGATTGGTGTTTTCTGGTTAGAAGCATACTAAAATAATGAATATAAGCATACTATTCTAACACACTGGAGGGATTGAGTTCAGATCTCAACAGTACATTTCTTTTTTTTGCATTCCCATTCATCCCAAAACCTAAAGTAGCAAAGTTTGTGAGTGTTCACAAGAAATATAAGATATATTTGTGGCCAGAAAATGCTTGCCATTCAACCTTTGCAATGTCTTCCAGTTCCATTCTGCTTCTGATTTTCTTGCTTCCTTAGCTCCATCTCAATTAAATGTTTTCTGATCCCACTTCACATTGATGTCAGCTGTGATCAAGTTGGAAAATGCCAAACCTGAGTTTTTTCAAAAAGACTTCCTATGTGTGCCATCAGTGTCTACAGACAAGATTATGTAAGGGATACACTGGGAAAAAACAATGCTCACTTGATGACGAGTGACTCCAGGCTAAGTTAATCATGCTACCCCCCATCATGTACCCAGCTCAACTATAGTTCAGCCCCCCTTTAGCACACAAAGGGGTCATTATAGTTGGATTGCAATGGCACTGGAGCTACATGATTTCACACATCATCTGGTGAGCATTGTTTTTTCCTGGTGATAAAACTGCGAAAATTGCTTGTGCAGGTATTTCAAATAAACAGAATTTAACCTTAAGTCTTAGGGGGTATCAAATATAAGAAATCCACCATTGGAAACCAGTCATTTATCAAAAAATATTCTGTTCCATCAATGGGTCCCCAGAGGGGAAAGATGAAGATACCTTCAAAAATGATACCTTGAAAAATGGTGGGTTTTTTGGTGGGTTTTTCAGAAACAGTCAATTTCATAATGGTGGATTTGCCCATATTTGATAACTCCTATTGATTTTTTTGCTTCTTATCTTAATTTGCTACCACCAACTGGTATGTCCAAAAATTCTCAACACTGATTTTCTTGACAATTTGACCCAATAACAAGACAATTGTCCTTGCACACTCACCAAAACACCAAAACAACTGGAATCCAATTATTGTTTGTTTTCTACATAAATGTTTCAAAACTGTACAGTCAAGCTGCAACAAGTCAATAGGAAAAATTAATCTTGGGGAAGGTGGTAGTTGAAATTGATGTTCCGACGTTTGAGCAAATGTTTGCCTTTGAAAGCAGGGACAACATAAGTGTAGGCTGAGTCTGCTAGTAGCAATTGCTTTTGGTTGAAGTCCTTTTCAGGTTGCCAGGCCACTTGCATGTGCAAAAATACATAAGCATCATGAGATGAGCCAGGAAATCCAGCCAAATAAAAAATGAACTTTTTGTTGATATCACATATGACCATTACTGAAATGGAGTATCTGATCCAAGTGGCCAAGAGCAAATAAGAATCAATCAACAAGGGAGATTTTTTTTATAATTCAGTAGTATCAAAAAGCTAACCTCTTCTTATGATCAAAGTAATGTTGCCCATCCTTGGGGGGCTTCTGGCTCAAAGGGATGGTTTTTCCATCTACAAATCCTACACAGCCAGAAAATCCTTCCTCTTGCATGAACTGAGACAATTCTATTCCTTCAGATTTAGTAGGCCAAGTGACTAAAGAAGATTGTAATGCATAAACAGCATGAATGACTTGTCTAGTATACAGTTTGATTGTTCCAAATCCAACTTGAAACAGAATTTTTGAGCCTGTAGATAGCTGAACCATTTCCATTTGATTCAAGACAACATACTGCTACAGCAATTTGGATTGGTGGGCACCTTTGGGGATTACAAGAGTTGTTGTAGAAGATTGGGTCTGGTTCAATGAGCTGTACCAGGTTGAGGAAGCAAGGGAATTTCATACAAAACATCTGCACAAAGCTTATTTCTGGAAGTCCTTGAAGCTCGGACATGTCATAACAAGGATCAAATTGTGTTGTGGGGTTTCAAGCTACTAGGTATTGTTTTTGAAGCTGACTCATAGGGAAAAAGTAAAATTCTTCAGGTTCTGAGTTGTGATCTGAATCCAAATTGTCCATCATGGCCATTGCAGCAAGATTGGTTGCTTCAATTATTTTCTTTCTTCAAGATACTTTGGGCATGATTGCTTTGTAGGACTTGAGTGGAGCCAATCTTGGTGTTGATGATGAAAGAATGGTTTGGTGATGGGATGATTGGTGCTGATGATGTGAAGTTTGGTGGTCAGATGATCAGTTTGGTGGTGGTATGATTGGTGCTGATGAGGTGAATCTTGGTGGTGTGAGTGAAATTTGGTGGTGATATGAGTTGAAACAAATGGGATATTTTAATTAGGGGGTATCAAATATAACAAAATCCACCATTATTTAATTGACTGGTTTGAAAAATTCCACCCTTTTTTAAACATGTTGGTTATCCATTTAACCCCTTTTGGGGCCCATTTATGCAATTTTTTTTTTTGGAAAAGTGACTGGTTTCTGATGGTGGATTTCCTATATTTGATACCCCCTATTGACTGGTTTGGGTGAAAAGATGTGTGTTTTTTGGTTCAAAACCCGTTGGGGTTGATGGATGTGGATTTTGCAAACCTGTCAATTAATAATTGTGGATTTCAAAAAGAAAATTGACAGGTTTTCAAAGGCGGATTTGCTATATTTGATACCCCCTAATACAATAATCAAATAAAAGAAACAAAGCATACCCAAGAGCTGTTATAAACCACAGAGACAGACAACTGGAATGTAATTCAGACAGGAAAAAAGTAGGACAAGGAATTAAGAACAACAAAAACTTAGCCATAGCATTAGGGTGACAAGAATGTATTGCTTCAACTGCACTTCTTGCCATGTTGGAGGACAACAAGACCTTGTAGATTTCAATTTGGGTTTGATTGATTGTTAATCAATTGATATTTGATGTTGAGTCTTTGAGGTTTTGTGATCATATTGGGAAGATTTGGGCAGAAGATTCAAGAATGTGGTCAACTACTTATGAGTAATTGGGAGACTGGAGAAGAAATTTTGGTAGTTTTTAGGTCAAATTTACAGATGAGATAGGCAATGAGATTAGGTTTCACCTGATGATGATTAGAGTTTGGATGTCAGATGTGGATATGGTTGATGCAGAGTGGCTGAAAGAATGGCTGGTGCAGTTTGACAGTCACAGTTGTCACAAATTATGGCTGATGATATGTATTCTTTCAACAGATTGAAACTAGAGTTCAAATATTTGTAATTCTAATGCCAGAAATCCTGATAAGTCATAAGTACCCCCATCAAGGAGGGACTCATGAGTTAAGTTTCAGTTGGAATCAGAGTCAATGACACAAAACAATCCAGGAGAAAGGGATTCCTCCCTACAAATATTGACATCTGGGAGGATTCCTCTCCACTGTTGTAAGACTCAAAATGTGCACTGTTGTAAGAATCAAAATGTGATTGTGAAAATCTCTTTGCTGAATTGTCAAAGGGACGGAGGTGCAAGCCCTGCCTTTTTGCATCATCAGGAAACAAGACCACCAAGGTAAGCTTGGAAATTTATTTAGTATAAAAAGAATTATCTTCAAGGATGAAATTGTTATTTATGAGGATTGATTGTGTTGTGCAGTGTTATTCAAGCTGGTGTTGGTGATGTTGTTCCTGGTATTTATGTCTTGATACTTCAGATTGGGCTTTGTTAAGTGTCAAACTAAAGGTGTATTTCAGATCAGTAAGAATGAAATACAATAAGAGAAGAAACAATAATGATAACAAATGAAATGAAGAAGAAAATGTGTACCTAAAGGCAGGAGCAACAATAACAAGGGAAACGACAAAGAAGGACAATGAAGGAAAGAACAAGGAGTGACTAAGATAGAGAAAAGATGTCAGTTGATAGGAGTTTGTGTTGATGAAGATGATTGAGTCAATAACCTATGACGATAGTAAAGACAAAGACGAGTGCTAAAGATCGGCGGAGAGTCGAGAGGAAAGGGAAGCACACGAGTTGGCAGAGATAGTAGAGAGTGCTAATAGTCGGCAAAGAGTTGAGAGGAAGGGAAAGCGCACGAGAAGGCAGAGGTGGAAATAACTGAGATGATGTTTTAGATAGAGAGGATAAATGATAGGGATTGTGATAGGGATTGTTCGATGAAACTGGAAGAGAGCAATCACGATGAGGATAGAGACGTAGAAGATAATGATTTGTGTTCTTCGATCCTGAGGAAAAGAGAGAGACAAGGTTTCTCGGAATATGATAGTTTATATATATGAGAGTCAGAAGTTTTTATGATGATGTCATTGTTAACTCGACTAGGATTAAGTAATCATTAATATTGGTAGAACTACCGCTAGAGCACTGGAGGGATCAAGGTCAGATCTCAACAGGCTTGAGTCTGAATCCTGTATGTGTGTGTATGTAATGTTATAGAGGTGGTTCTTGGGCCCAAATGTTCTAGGAGCACTATGCTTCAACCAAGAATTGAACAGGGAACTGGATCTTCTGTGTAATATTTGTGAAACTGAACTGTGTGTATATTGAATCTGTATGATTCACTATGTGTGAAACCACTTGTGTAATAAATATGTGTAATTTGTGACAGGTTTGTCTCTTGAGGTGTGTCCTGAGCGGGATGAGGAGTGAACAGCTGGCAGGCAGAGGCCTTCTTATGTAGTAAATTGTAAGATATTTTAGTCCCAAGGGACCACCTGGGTGAGGAATCTTAGATGGCCTGTTCCAGAAAAATATCAAGGGATTTTGGCTAGACTATCTTCAATGCATCATGTTTATATGTAAGCTGCAAGGAAGGAATTTATCTGTGCAGTATCTGAATATAGGGGATTTAACTGGTACAACTTGTGGCCA